ATGCATTTCTTATAATAATTTAAATTCCACAATTGTCAGCAAAAGTTTCTGGAAGGAGAAAATGTGAATTTAGGCACCGTTCACATCGTGTATTGATAGTGAATATGTGTCACCTGGTTATCGCTCTAGTACCTGCATGCTACCCAAATGTTGTGTCTTTCAGTGTGAGATAAATATTGCAGTGGTGGATTAACCTCATTTTCAGTTTTGCAGCTAAACACCAACATAGATAAGTAGACCACAAGGGTATTAATCCCAGATACACACAAATCAAATCAAGAACAACATTTGAAACTTACCAAACCTTTTGTCAGGATTTCTGAAGGTGTCAGTTATTTTCTTTGCATTTTCATCTATTTCTTTTTACAGTTATTGTAAAAGGAATAGATGAGTGGTGTGCAGTTGGAAAATAAAAAATATCAACCAAAATACCGAAGAAGAAATGTAAATACAAAAACATCTAAAGTAAATTAGCAGCATCCACCATGTTTTAGGGGTCAGTGCTAAGAAAAGTATGATCAACTAATATTTCTTTAAGAAGCAATAAAAAATTTTAGTTTTGATAATCTCAGTTATCAAATTGTTAAACAAGCCGTAGAGTTAGATATTTTTAGACATGAGTCATTGTTGAGGTGCGAATATTCACTTTGTGTGTAGAGACACCACAAAGGAAGAAACGTGAGGTACAACATGTTCAGTATTCAATTTGTAATGCACATATGTTTGAATGTTTTATACGTTTGTATAATAAATTTAGAAATGTTCTCATAAAATCTAACTAAAACACGTCTGCTGTTTCACATACATTCAACATGTATGTGAAACAGCTAACCAATTCAATGTGTATTTCTATATGTAGCCTTCAGTCTGACAAATATTCTTTCACTTCCTGTTTACCATCTGCGCGAGGCTTTAGCAAAAATGCCCTTCTCCTTCCTGTCAGCACTGAACCACAGCAGTGCTGTAGGAGTTTGAACTGTGAAAATGTAGATCAGTGCGATATGCATCATGCAACAGATCAGAAACACCTAAACAGTTTATTTTAGCTAAAAATAGCATGGGAAAATGAAACTTGCAGCAGCAGCACTTTCTTTTAGACATCATCTTGTATGTGATATAGGTGCAACTGTAACCAACTGTCACTCTGTCAGCAAAATTAAATGTCAACTTCTGCTTCATGAAATAGTTAAATATTTTCATGTCTAAAATTATGGTGCTGAAGTAATCCATAAAAAAGAAAAACAGCCGGTAACTGGGGTTAGTTATTCTGAGAGGCGTTTGTGTCAAAGTATACTTCCAAAGAAGGCCATTAGAAAATAAAAAACTGCGAAGCAGCTTCGGTCAATCTTAAAAACTTTAAGTGTTTTAAAATTCAAGTCTTGTCTAATCAGGAAAGGGTTGTGGAGCAAATCAGACACACTTTACAAGAGTCTTTACATAATGGAGAGCAACATCAACTCTGTCACAGGCAGTCAAAAAGTAGATGAAATATACAGAGGGGCTGTATTGTGTATTTTCCAGACATATAGTGCCATTTTATAACACAATCAAGTAACTATGTTGCCTTCAGTTGTTATGAAAATGCTGTATATACCAAACATAACTTAAAATGAAAATGACCCTAATATAAAAGGGTAAAGGGTAACTTTCTGTATACTCATTAACGTGGTGGCCCAGATTGATTAATGAAAAACAAATGTCATAACAAAACAAAGACCACAACAGAGATTATTATTAAAAGCAAGCAAACTATATATTTATAAAATGAAGACAGAACTTTTTCACAAAGCCAAACTTGCCTTTCACAAACATCCCATTAAGCCAACAGAATGAAGGCGCCATCAATTTGCTTTTTCCTGAAACACAAGGAAGACAATAATCAGGGTCGACAAACACACGTCTGCAGATCTTTTTTGCTGTTATTCCAAAAAAAAAAAAAAAGATCTCAGGATCTCATATGTTTGATGTCAAAATCTTTTTCTCGAGTGTGTGTAGCTAAACCGAAACTTCAAACGGAAACAAGAGCATGTGACAACTGACCCCAGCTCTCCAGTGGCTGGAGATGAAGGTAAGAGAGAAATGGGTTATAGTGACACGCTCACACACACACACAGACAGACCCTAAAGGAGTAACATGTTTCATTTTTCCTTTGTGTCCCTCCCTTGTTTTTCACAGAAGTAATTTGTCAGGTTTGATGGCTGTGTGATGTCTGTGTGTGTGTGTGTGTGTGTGTGTGTGTGTGTGTGTGTGTGTGTCCGTGTGCACCTGAGCCTGTGTGTGATACTTTAATTTGACCTTGATGAAAAACAAGCCTTCAATAATTCAGGTCTCTGTTTCCCCATACGATGACAACAATCAGTCACACCGGCACAAAATCGCACTAATACACACTACAGAGTTACACACTGAAGCCTTATTAAAACAATATCAAAAGCACTTAGGGCTCTGCAATTTTGTGCTATATCTTGTCCTTTAAATTTATTTTCACAGCATAGTGGTTCACTTAGTATGTTTCCGAAGGTTTCTCCGCAACAGAATTTAGAAACATTTTGGATTTAGCGCTGGAAATTTTAAGGGGGGGGGGCATTTTAACTCAAACCTATTCTGATCTAAACCTTTCTTTTGTTGCTATAGCAGTATGTTTAAGTTCATTGTCCTGCTGGAGGGTGAATGTCTTAGTCTTAAGTCTTTTGCAGCCTATAACAGTCTTCCTTCCAGGATTGTCTTGTATCTTCATTGATTTGTCACTGACCACCTTCCTTGTCCCCCCCACTGAGGAAAAGCATTCCATCACCAGGCTTAAACAAGTGCTTTCTAGATCATTATTGATGCATTATGATGCTTAGTGAGGATTCTCTTAGTCTCTGTGATATCTAAATACATGTCAGGATCCAGGGATGCTGTGTTCATATAAACATTTTCTGGGATTATTCAGTCTAGGCTGAAAACTGTAATCATTTCTTCTGCTATTCCATCCAAACTTTCAGTAATTACATTTTTTAAAAGTTAGCTGCTGCATAGCTTCCGAAACATCACTTTTAATGAATTAGAAATATAATCCAAACTGACTTCAACAATGTATTCTCTATGTCCTGTTTAAAGCAGCGGGTGTTTCATTTGTAAAATGATCGGATGTGATGTGATATGATTATTTCCAGAGGACTGTCTTTATTAGAAAATGATTGGAGTTTGCCGCTGTCTTCCCTCCTTAGGATAATCAGCCACAACCACTGTCACAATAATGTACAAGCAGATATTCTTGCATTTTAATTTGTTGCTGTTGGAAAAGAATTGTCTATTTTCATCAAGGAAAACTATTTTTCCCCTAGCAATAAAAATACAAAAGCATACAGATAGTTTGTATCCCTGCTGTCCTCTGGCAAAAGGTTCAGCAGCCTCAAATGCAGAAAAAAACTAATTCCACAAAAGCCTCCTCCCTCACGCAATTAAACTCCCATTAATCTTTTTATTGGACATTTACATTGATGCATTTTATTATTTATTTATATATTTAATTATTTAACTTGTCATTATTGGAGCCTTGCAACAAAATTTCAGTCAATGTCAATTTTAAAGTTGAATGACAATCAAGTCTGTCTTTGTCTAACAGTGCAAAAGAGAGTTCTTTTTAACAATATATATGCTTTTATGGAAAAGTGTAATCAAAAGTGGTGACGTTATTTGAACTACACATACTGAAGCCTTTACTTTGTGAGACTGAATGCGAAATGCACTCAGCTGGTATAAAGTCAAAGGTCATGACTACAGAGTGTTTCAGATGGAGCCATCGTTGTATTCATGCGGCCTCTATTTGTGCCAACACAATAGGATGTAGGAGCTGAATTATTGAGTCCTTGTTTGTCATCAAGGTGAAGTTAAAGTGTCTCACACAGACACACACACACACACACACACGTCTTCCTCATCACACACAAAACCTTTGTATCCTTTGCTCTGTTTTAAAAGACCCTTAATCGGGTTGATCTCTAAGAATGTTTTATTTTTTGTATTTTTATAGACCAAATTCTTTTCAGTCCAAAGAACAAGAAAGCTTTGTATCAGAATGGACTAATTATACCCTCCTCCCCCCCCAAAAAAAAGAAAAACCATGAATACTGTAGTCACTAAATGTTATGACACATCACCCCGGAGTGAAGTAGGCCTTTTTTAAATATTAAATTAAGCTGTATTATTTTATTCTTACAGAT